TGAAGGCTATAATTCATCTCTGCTCTTTATAATTACAGTGCATTCAAGCATTGCTTCATATGAAGGCTGTCTGCTTTCAAAATTAAAGGCATTAGCAACTTAAGCCTCACTTTACACTCACCGCGCTAAACTTAAACTTCTACTAGCAAAAAATAAGTACGATTTTTAACAAACGGATCTTACCAGTGGATAGAGGCTGACAAACGTAGAGGTTTGAAAAATGCACAAGCAGAACAAGTGACTCGGGGGAAGGGGTCCCACGTGCTCGGACAAAGTACACACCCTTTGTAGTAACGATAGCCTTTTCCTGGTCTTCTCTGTCACGCCGAACAGTCTCCGACAGAACGAACCTGGTGAGACATCAATATAGTTTCATTGTACCCTGCATAAATAACACAAAATATTGAAAACATCACCTTTTACAATAACATGAAGAAATGAAGTCTTACTTTTCATTAAAATTGCCTTCATTAAGCTTCAGCACGATTTCTTGACCTTCCGCATGAGTCGCCGCGAATCTTGGTATAGCACCACTTGGTCCAAAACAGTTTCTGCGCAAGCGTGAAGGTTTTGGCATGAAATTTCTGGAGCTACGTGTCGCTTGATCCCGGAGAGCGGCTGCTGCACCCGACACGAAGTCCAGGACTCCCGTGGTTGCTCCCACAAATGCTTTTCCCAAACCCTGAAAGATAGAATATTTCGCTTTAACCTTCTATCCAATAGTGGACATTTTGCAGCTAGTCACTCAAATGGTACAAAACAAAACTGCCATGCTGGAGAGCAAAAGGCTAGACGTACTGGGAGAAGACAAACAAAGGAAAAATTACTAGATACAATATGTAACCTCTTTGCTTGTCTAGCCCCGGTGTGTCCCGGCTTTTTTCCCAGCATGGCAATCTTGCCCCACGCGGATGATATGCTGCAAGAGCCTCTTAGCCCCTACAAACGAAAGGTTATCCACACATCAATAACACGTGAAAGCGCACTTACCGACACGCCGGAGTTATGAGCGCCCACTATTGGCTGTGTTACGATACAATACAATATTCTTTATTTAACGAAGGCGACGTAATAACCCAATAGTTATCTAACTTACGGCCTTCACAACAATACAAAATACATATATAAAAACAATGCCTAATCAGTAATATACGCCTACAACAAGAGAAAAAAATACAACTAGACAAATGTATAGTTTAACATAGATATAAGATGATATAAACTAATTACCTTCTAGTACAGTTACAACAAAGAGAAAAACGACAATCATAACACATTAATTCTTCAAGATGAGAAACGTTACTAGCAAGCTTAAGGAATAGGATAAAGAGTTTACGCTTAAAATTATTAAATCTAGATCAAAAAATAATAGAAGAAAGAGATACGCACGCTATTTGCTTAAAATCAGTATCAAGGCAATTAAAAAGAGTGGCAGCAGAGTAAGCAAATGTGCGCTTTCCAGAATTAGACCGAGGGTATGGAACTTGAAGATTAGAAGCAAAAGCTCTGGTGCGCAGACCAGTTGAACGAACGGAAGACAAGAAATTGAATTTACGTTTAAGACAAAGAGGAGCATCATTCTTTAAAATTTTAAAAAAAGTTTGTGCAAAATATGCTTTTTTAATTTTATTGTGGCGGAATATTATGGGTTTCCTATGAAAGAAATATTTTTTTTTCAAAAGGGTATTCTTTTCCCTTTCCAATGAGGTATAGCTTGATATTGAACTGTAAATAACCCCAGAGATATGATTTTTTAAAGTTACATGGCAAAATACATTAAAATAATTAGCTGAAGACAATGAGTAAAGAATAGTAAATAAAAGTACAAGTTTTCTTAGTTTTATAAGGTCAAAAATAGGCAGCCATTTGAGTTTGGAAAATAAGCTTACAGATGGTTGAGAGAAGTCGGCATCAAGGAACAATCTAGCTGCACGTTTTTGAAGGAGAAGAAGACGAGACAATAAATAATTGGAACAATTACCCCATGCACTGGATCAATAGATAAAGAGGTGAGTCCGAAGACTAAACCCATCTCAAGGCCCTTGACGCCTGCTACAAAATGATCCTTGGAACTGCCAAGCCTCTCCGCTCTTGTAGCGTCACGACTCTTCTGGAACCATGTGTCCATTGACGCATTCGAGACGACGTCTGACAACGACCTGGTGATCTAAAAAAGATGAATAATAATTATATCAAACATGAGAGAGTGTTGTATCCGATATCAAACACTGGAAAGAAGAGCACTTTTTGACAAACGTTAAAGTATTTGATATCTTGATAGAAAAAAGTTTGAGCAGGGAATAGCAAAGTCCTTCTGTGAGGGAGGTTACCAGTTCGATTCCAGTAGTGACCTCAAATCCTTTCTTCGACTTATTTCCTTTCAGTGAAGCCTCAAGTGGCTTTAAAACGGAGCACTAATGGATAGAGGGGGGTAAAATGAGCGCCCTGTCGGCCTCTGTTGCAATGGTGTTACTAGTCACCGACGTAAGATAAGGACTTTTACCCTCTAGAGCCTTTTATGATTTGAACTAAAATTTACACAGTGAAGCAGTTGATTCTGCATGTGCACAATAGCTAGACCACTCTATTAGCATGCGTTTACTTACTTTAGCTACGCTATCAGACACGCCATGGGCCACATTTCTTAAGAGTCCTCCGACATCGCCTCTCTTTACCAGTTCTTCTAGGCCAGATGAAACGTCATTGATAAGTCCCATGGGATTGCCAAGAAAATCAACTGAGCCTAAGATAACTACCCCTTGATTGCGAATCGTCTATAGAAACAAAACAATTTGATTTCTTACGTTACTAGAGAGAGACTCCAATGGCTATATAAAGTCGTGGAGTTCACGATGGCATAACATGGCAATGCTGGATGTAAAATTTTCACGTGCGTCAAATCAACTTTAATGAACAGTGCTTTTGCCTTGAATGGCCCCAATCCGCATAAAGATGGTAAAGTCGATCCCAAGAGTTAAAACACTGTTAGGAACATGTAACTGCAACTTTTCACCAACGATTCAGTTTTCATACCACAAAATGATACTCCATTATAGGAAGGTTAACAAAACCGTGAATAACACTTTCAATCTACGATTAACGCTCATTGGTCTGTCATAGCAAGGCTGTCATTAAGGGAGGTAACATTTAACACCTATTAGGCATGAGCTCACTTGATCTTACGGGTGATCAAAGTGGGAAGCTAAAGATGACACTATCAGTGTTGGTGAGATGTTAAAGGTGAACTTTCACTTGGTATGGCTGCTTAAAAACTGACAGCCCTATATTGGCGAACCCTTGTTCTGATGAAGCTAATAAAGTAACACTCCGAATATTGAAAAAGCATAACAATTTCGTGGTCACCGAAAATTTGGGCCGGATATCCCGATTGGTTTCGGAGAAATTCTCTTTGAAATATCCCAATTTTTACAAAGAATGTATGAGCTCTTTAACCTTTTTTGCCACCCAGCAATTTTGTACTCTTTGATTGCTGCTATTTTCTTTGTTATTGATTGCAAAGAGCTTCACAAACTCCTCAAATTAACCAGCTCTTTCAGTTTTTGAACCTAATTTATATATTCGACAACGTGTTCCATGGGTTAACTCGTATGCTAATGAGCAAAAATGTAAACAATGACGTAACGATAAATTCTTCGACAGTGTTTATCCTAGAGTGCGGCATTGTACTTTTTGTTTTCGTTTGCTTCAAGTTCTTACCTCAATGTAATGTTTACTCATAGAATCCAGCAAGGAGGACATTGTGTCAAATGAATGAGAACGAGAGAAAGACTCTACAATAAAAGGAGAAACAAACAAAATAATTCGTTTTAGAAAAAAAAAATCATGCATGGATAATGATAACTGGACAACATAATCCTGAGGACTTCAAAATAAAGGTAACAGAAAACATAAGTTAAGAAAGTGACATGCAAGAAATTGGAAGGAAACGTACGATAAACAAATCTGTTTTGCAGAATTTAAAAGTCATTTATTCAGTATGTTTTTGAACATCTGGTCTGGCAGTCTCAATTGTAGGTGAAAAACCCCAAAAGAGGGTTCTTTCTCTAAAGAGTAGGGCCAAAACTTCTGGTTCGTGAAGGAAAATGATTGGACCCAGCGTTAAAATACACTTCGAAAAAACACATTCCCAATTTACCGGAGAAATACCTATGTAAATGTGTTTGTGACGTACCTAAGTCTATAGAAGCATCCTCTAAGTTGACGAAGATAAGTCTGATAAGTCCCAGACTGCTTTTCAGACTCTGTAAATCTTCAGGCAGTCGACGGGCACTAGATACCGAAAACGTGAGCTGAGTAGAGTTCAGCTGAAGATGCTCAAAGTAATAACGCTTTAACGAGGTTGGTGAACTCGGGACTGTGGATCTGCAAAATGTAAGAATTGTGTTACAATTTCGTTATAGATCACGAACAATAGATAGTTTTTACTTGACGTCACGTCCCGCATATTGGTGTCAACAACAAAACAGCGACCATGTTGGTGTCCAAAACCACTCCTGGGGAATGAACTCTTTTCTTATGCTAAAGCTTTCTTCTGTTCACATAAATTTGCATAGATGCTGGAAAAGTGAGAGAAAAGGCTGTATACATTCTTTGGATGATGTACAGATAACATTTTACTCTTCAGTTGTCAACCATCATTAAGGTGGCTCGATACAGTTTTTCAGGGTCAATACCTCCTAAGTTTAAGCATAAACTACGTCGCCATAAACAAAGTTTTGGAAAAATGGCCTCCACAGTTGTATTAGATAAAGATGAAAATTTGTTTTGATCAGGGTTGCAACGGATCGGAGTTGTCATGTCAACGAAATGACGCTATTGCCTATTATTAAAAACTGAATCATTGGATAATGCAGTTCAAGACTTTTCATTGGCTTAGCTATCATGGTATATGAGCTAATATACCATAAGCTACAAATATGGTAAGTGTAAGCGTCAGCTTAGAATTAAAAGGGAGCTAAAAAATTTTCGCTGAGGAAACAATGGCTGCCGGTGAAAATCGCTTCGCGCCGGAGTTAAATGAAAAAGAAGTCCTTAAACTGTTACAAAATGCAACACCAGGGAGCACAAAGAAAGCCACAAAGTATGGCATGAAAATGTTTCAAGGTAACAACTTCAAAACTTTATTTTGACAATTTAAGCGTCTGTGTTTATAGTTTAATAACGCGAAGCAAAACAGTGCAAGTTGAGATAATTTACAAATTAATTAAGTTAATTGGTTACATTTCACTAACCTTTTCAGACTGGCTTTTGACTTCTGGGAGCAAATTTAGTGTTACACCAATCGAAGAAATGAATAAAGAGGAACTCAATGCTTGCCTAAAAAGTTTTTATACATCCGCAAGAAAACAAGATGGTCAATTTTACAAGTCTTCTTCCTTGAAGGCAATTCGTGCAGCCATTGACAGGTATCTTCGCATGCCTCCACACTCCAAACAGTTCTCTATCGTCTGCCGACCCTGCCTTTACCGAAGCAAACAAGATCTTAGACGCATTTGTCAAGTAACTAAGAAAGTCTGGAAAAATTAGTGGTGCTGTACATAAAAAGGCCATCTCGAAACAGCAAGTTGAGAAGCTCTTCCAAAGCGGTGAACTTGGTCCGGCGGACACCAAAGATCCAGCACAGCTTCAAAGAACAGCGTGGTTGTACCTCGGCATATAATTCGGAGGACGTGGCAGAGAAAATCAGCGAGATATGAAACCTGCCATGCTTTCCCTCAGAACTACTCCACGAGGAGAAGCGTATTTTGAGCTCACAGAGTTTCCCGGCTCGTTGCCAGCGACGAAAAACTATCAAGGTGGCCTTTCCGATGCCGAAGATGAGTCAGACGCGAAAATATTTTCTGTGCCAGAATCTGCCAAATGCCCGGTGAAAACCATAAAAAATTACTTGTCGCACTTGAATCCTAAGTTAGATTGCCTTTTTCAGCGTCCACGGGAAAAAGCAAGAAGCTTTAATCCGGACGAAGATAAAGTGTGGTAATGCAATTCGCCTCTTGGAGTGCAGCGGCGCCGAACATGGCGGCCACGAGTTTCAAAGCTCTGATTTTAGTGTTTTATTTCTTACTTATTTGTTCTTAAATTATTTCTACTTGGAATCCAATCGATTGCCACCATCATGGGCCTTGCCAAGAAGCTCTCAGGGTTTTTCCTGGCGCATATTGTGGTCATTACGGCCGATTTGCTGTCACTGGACGAGCTTCAACTGTTTTGGTCGCGAAGCGCTCTGGATTTCATCGGGCCAAGATTCCTTTGGTCTCCCTTGGTATCTTGGACAAAGCACGGATGTACATCTCTGCTAATTCCTGGTCACGGCCCGCCTCTAAACATCACAATTTTTGGAGACATTTCGATTAATCCTGGTCCGGAGAATTTGATTCAAAACAGTTTGAAGTGGCGAAATGAAAATCTACCGAATATCTTGGATTTGCATATGAATACTCGAGTTATAACATACACCCGTGCTGAACTACTTGGCATTCGTCGCGCGTCTCGCAGTTTTGTTTGTGGATCAGTTCTCCATGATTTAAAGCTAAACGGACTTCTCAGGTTTAGAGGATGTCGAGCTGGCCGACGGAAGATATCTGTACGCATTTCTGATCGAATAAGTCATGCTACTTGCCGTGACAGAACCACTTCTCGCACATCTGTTTGGGTTCCTATTGTTCCTGAACAACGTTTTCGTGTTGGAAGCTATTTAAAATTCTGTAGTTTGAATGCCAGGTCTGTGAGAAACAAATTGGCGGACTTGGTTTCCTATGTTAAATCATCTGGAGTTGATATTTTCGTAGTAACTGAGACATGGCTCTCAGAAATTGATGATGCGTGCAGAGCCGAAATCACCCCACCCCGGTACGAGCTGTTTGATCACACGCGATCTGATCGATCTGGTGATGGAACTGCTCTATTGATAAGAGAAAATCTACATGCAAGTCGTGTAGATGCTGGTGAGTGCACTTCTTTTGAGTTCTCTCATTGGATGGTCGAGTTCCATTCGCGAAAACTACAGATTATTATCATTTACCGTCCACCCTATTCGAGTAACCATCCTGTCACGACGAGTGTATTCTTTCCTGATTTTTCGAGTTTTTTGGAGAGTATCATAATGTCATCTGTACCTTTACTGATAGCAGGTGATTTTAATATCCATGTAGACGTTCCGGGGAACGCAGACTGTGTTTGTTTAAAGGAGCTGCTTGAGTCAATTGGCCTTCAACAACATGTAAAGGAGCCAACGAACGAGTCAGAACACACCCTGGATTTGATCATTACTCGACAATGCGACTCCTTATTGGCTAACATCCCTTTGACTGACTGTCTGTTTTCTGATCACTCTACTTTGATCTGTGATCTAACCCTGGACAAGCCACCACTCCCGAAGAAAAAATCTCTTTCAGGAAGACTAAGGTGGTTGACGTTAAGCTGTTATGTGATGAACTTTCTACAACTTCGCTTTGTACAGACAGCCTTGATGCTCTGAATGATCTTGTTAAATGTTATAATTCTACATTATCTGCGGCTCCACTTGTCGCTAAGTTTATCACAGTCAAGGAGGGAAAGACGGAGAGCTGAAAGAAAATGGCGTCGACCTCGAAGTGTCCGTGATTTGCTTGAATTTAAAAAGAAGAGGAATTTTACAACCTACCTGATGAATGAAGCCCGTCGTAAGTTTTACTCAAACTTTATTGTTGAAAATAACTCCAATTAAAGGACCCTATTCTCGGCAACAAAGAGGTTGCTAAATCAAGGTCATGAAGTACCTTTTCCACCAATTAGTGACAAGCTGGTTTTAGCCAATGAAATGGGTAGCTTCTTTGTTGAAAAGATTGACGCCATCCATGTCAAATTAAACAGACCAGCTGATTGTTTGTATGATTCCCATTTTGACTATGTGAAAACGTTACCAACTAGAACACTGGACAGCTTTATCCCTTTAACTGAAAGTGCAGTTAGCAAGTTGATTGGCTGCTCCCCGAAGAAGAGCTGTATATTTGATCCGATGTCAACACCTATGGTGATCAGCTGTGCTGATGTGCTATTACCAGTCATTACTAAAATGATCAACCTGTCTCTTAATTCTGAAGAATTTGGGGATGATTGGAAATATGGGCTTGTTAATCCTGTCTTGAAGAACACTGGATTGGATTTGCTGTACAAAAATTACAGACCAGTTAGTAACTTACAATACGTATCCAAGTTGACTAAAAAAGTCGTTTTTAATCAAGCTTACGATCACATGGTTTCAAATGCTATTTTTCCTGCCCTTCAGTCTTCTTAAAGGCAATTCCATAGCACTGAAACTGCACTTATCAAGGTGATGAACGATATTTTGTTAAAGATGAACTCTCAACATGTCACTATGTTAATTTTATTGGATCTTAGTGCTGCCTTTGACACTGTTGATCATCGAATACTTGTAGAGAGGCTATCTGACGAGGTTGGCATACGTGGGACTGCTCTGAATTGGTTTAAATCGTACTTGTCTGATAGAAGTCAGCGCGTTTCTTTACATGGAATTCTTTCTCGTCCTTTTGACTTGAACAGCGGGGTACCCCAAGGCTCATGTTTAGGGCCTCTGCTATTCATAATATATGCGTCCAAGCTGTTTAAGATCGTGGAACATTATCTTCCAAATGCTCACTGTTTCGCAGATGATACGCAGCTGTATCTGGGTTTTAAACCACTCGGTAACACTGCCCAAGCTGTTGCTATACAAGCTATGGAAAAGTGCATTAACGCGGCGAGGAAATGGATGATTCAAGATCGGTTGATGATCAACGATGATAAAACGGAGTTTTTGTTGGTCGGCACACGACAACAGCTTGATAAAGTAGATTCGTGTCCCATTACTGTGGGCAATAATGGTATCAGTCCAAGCCCGTGTGTTAAAAACCTTGGATTGTGGTTTGACATCAACTTAAGCATGACTGATCATATAAACAAGGCTTGTAATGCGGCATTTTATCATTTACATAACTTGAGACGTATTAAGAAATACCTGTCGACAGATTCTTTAATTACTTTGGTTCATGCTTTTATAACGAGCCGTCTTGACTATTGTAATGGTTTATTGTTTGGCTTACCAAAGGCGCAGATCGCTAAATTACAGAGTGTACAAAATGCAGCAGCAAGACTTATTCTTGGCATCGGAAAGTTTTCTCACATTACACCGGCGCTTTATGAGCTGCACTGGCTGCCGGTTTCTTTGCGTATTGACTATAAGATTTTACTTTTGACTTTCAAATGTATTTACGGCCTAGCACCAACTTATCTTAGCGATCTTTTTGGTATAAAATCGAATTCATTATATAATCTTAGGTCTACTGGCAAGCTCTTATTGGACCATCCCAAGGGAAAGATGCTTACAACATTGGGAGCAAGATCATTCTCAGCAGCAGCTCCGAAACTCTGGAAAGGCCTACCTGTGGAGCTTCGTCAAGCAACATCACTTAACAGTTTTAAATCTCGACTTAAAACCTATCTTTTTAAGAAGCATTTTTATAGTTCGTAACTTAGGTTATATTATTTTCTCACGGTAATGTATTTTTGTTTTCTCTTCAACATATGATTGTAAAGCGCTATTGATCAGCCATGTAAATACGCGCTATATAAATTGGTAAATTATTATTATTAGTATTAACATTCTAGATTCGATGTTGAAGTTAATGAGCTCTCGAGCAGGGATCCAGCCTCACCTCACGAATCATTGCCTCAGGGCAACTTCGGTGACCGTCCTTTCTGACAACTGTGAGACGAGGCAAATTAAATCAGTCACCGGCCACAAGTCCTACCATTCAATCGAAAGTTACAACGATCGACCTTCCCTCGACCAGCCAAAGAAGATGTCGGAAGCGCTCAGCTCCTTCCTTCATGGCCACGAAGCCACTTTAGTTGACAAAAAAAAAAAAAAAAAAACAGCAGGACGGTAGCTGGACTTAGGGGCTACAAGCTCATCCACCACGGCAATTCAAGCATCCCCAGCGTTAGTTCTCGTCCAGCATAATCAAGTGCGGTTTCGAACAACATGCATGAAAACTACGCACATTGCGAGCAAGGGTTGCATCGCTTTCCTCCCCAGTTTAACTTTTACAACTGCCCCAATGTGCAAGTTCACAATAATTTTAGCGGAAGTGGTTAAACTGTGTCTTGTAAACATTACCTGAAAATTTTTTCACTTATTCAAGCAGCGTAAATTTGACAAACTTCATGTATTTTGATCGTCGCGTTTTATAATTCATTCAGAACAACGCGTGCAGGATTTGACAGTTTTTGATAGACATGTCACATGTCATGAAACGAGTAAAACCGGAAATTATCTGTAAATTGTAACATCCGGTTTTTTTCTTACAAAATAAATTTGGGAAGATTTGTCTAATCTTCTGGGCGTTTTTAATAAAACAATTATTCCAATCGCGCTTGAAGGATATGAGATGATTATAGCCAACTCGGCGCTACGCGCCTGATTGGCTATTTACCATCTCATATCCAACGCACGCTCGTGGAATAATTGTTAATTATACTTGCAGCAG